GCCACTTGCAACATCCATTTTTTTCTTTCTTTCAGAGGCTCCTTACCCATGCCATGCTCTCAGATTTCCAGAACCGCAAATCAAAGAAGATATCTTCCCAGTCTCAGACATTCTGACACAGCAACAGAAAACAGACTAAGGTAGGATGAGTTTTATTTCTACTCTGGACCTTATTTTTCTCTCGGATTTATATAATGTCTGTAATGCCTCTCCCAGTGAGGTGACCATTTACCCATCACCTGACCCCTGGTTCCCATGAGGAATGCAAATCAACGGCTCAGAGCTCAGAGCTCTGGGGAAGACTGACATTTTACGCATTATTTGGTGGTCTAGTAGCCTAAAGGTTAGTGCCTTTTCCCACCAACCACAGCAAACTCTTGTCCACCAAGTTTTGGATACTACACACTCAGTTACTCTTGGATCAGTGCCACATCGCTGCTCTTTGAGGTTAAATTGGGCTGATGTTTGGGCTCAGGAACAGAAAAAGAAGCAGAATAAAATGTACATGGCAGACGTGATGGTGCACACAGCACTTGGGCGCTGAGACTGGAAGGCCAGGAGTTCAAAGCCAGCTTCAGCCAAATAGTAAGTTTGAAGGCATCCTGAGCTACATGAGATTCTCTCGGAAAGCAAAACAACAAGAGAAAACAAGAAGCAGAAGGAGCATAAAAAACAAAAGGCTCAAAACTCAGGCCCTCAAGCCTGTTTCCTCACCGACCACGGGCCCCAGAGTGCTGTGAAAGAGCTGGCTTTGCTCAACTCATTGCACAGGACTTGCTCAAGTTTCTTCACTGGAAAGGTCCCTGTGTTTCTGTGGCCTCACCTTCCTGTCCAGCAAGAAAAGCTTCCAGGAGACAGCTGCCTCAGCTTTAAACATCATGGCCACCTGTAGAACAGCCTCGGCCACTGCAGCAGCCTGGCCCTATTCATAGCTGCTGTCCTTTGCTCCCTAGGCCCCTGTTCCACACCAGCTCCCCTGAGGACATTCTTAGTTTCCTTGAGCATCAGGCTCTGCTTTTTGCTCATTTCTATGACAGTGAACTTTCCAGACAGATGCTAGCCCTCTGCTTTCCTTGCCCTCCTACTGCCCACTCTCCCGCTGGTCTTCCAGAGAGAGCCTCCCTTTGGTCTTCCAAGGAAAGCCTTCCTCATTCTCCTTCATGTTCCTTCTCTACTTGTCTCAGTGGAAGGAGGAAATGAGCAGCATCCAGTAGTCTTTCTCATAGCAATCAGGACTGGAGGGCTGAGGTGCATGCTCTGAGTCGAACATAATAGGAGGAAGCCGTCTGCTGACCCCATGCTCATCGTGTCAGCCAGTGATTGAGGAGAGCGAGCAGCCTTTTGCTTAGGACTAAAACACGCTGCAGAGCATTTTCGTACAGCTCAATTTTGCAAATGCAGAGCAAATTCCTTGAGCATAGGCAGGAAGAGAAGCATATTTTTATCCACAGTGAGTCAACGCTATTTCCTAAGCCATTTTCAAGGGTTGGAAACCTCCAAAATCATCAGCAAGTTTGATGGCAGCTCATCAGTCACAGAGAAATTTCTCCACGGGGCTGGAGAGATGGCTCAGTGGTTAAGAGCATGAGTTGCTTTTGCAGAGGACTCTGGCTCCCCTTTTTCTAACTCTGGTGGCAGAGGACCTGATGTCCTCTTCTGATTGTGCACAGACATACAAGCAGGCAAAATGTCATGTACATAAAATAAAAATTGAAAATCTATCTGTAAGAAGTTTCTCTACTACAGGTGAAATTCATTGCCTACAATTGCTGCTCTATGACGTCCTGTAACTAAGTGCCACGGGGTCTTCTGGTGTCATTTTTTGTTGTCGTGATGAAATACTCTGACAAAGAAATCAACTCAAGGATGAAAGCACTTGTTTGATCCTGCATTTCTGCAATACGGTGTGTCACAGCAGCTGTGGCGGTTTGAGTGAGAATGCCACCCAAATCGGGTGTTTGAACACTTGGCTCCCGGCTCTGGCTCTGTTTGGGAAGGCTTAGGAGGAAGTGGCTCAGTGAGGGTGGCTTCAGGGATTACGTAGCCTTAACCACTTCCTGTTCACAGTCTCAGATTTATGCTTTCAATGGAAGACCTGAGCCCTCACCTTCCTGCTCCTGCTGTTTTATGCCATTCCGCCTTGTCATAACAGACCATTTTCTCTCTGGAGCTGTCAGACAAACAAATTCTTCTCCAAGTTTCTGCGGGTCGTGGTGTTTTATCCCCGAAACAGAGAAATAACTAACACAGCAGGGAAATCACAGTGGCAAGTACTTGAAGTGGCTGATAGACTGTACCCACAGTCAAAGAGCAAAGGGAAATGGATGCATCCGTGCTATTTGCCTGTTTGGTGGTTCTCAGATCACTTTCTCTACTCTTACACAGTTCAGGACCCCTTGCCTAGGGGATGGTCCTGCGCACGATGGGCTGGCGCTTCTTATACCAATTAATTATAATTCCAGGCTGCATCAAGCTGACAATTAAAGCTAACGGTCACACTGGGCATAACTATACGGAGCTAGAAGGTTTGTTGTAAATCCCGTGAATACTGCCGTAGAGTTACACCATAACACACCGATATGCAGTTGAAAATCGACTGGAGGTTACTTGAAAAATGTAATGGTCCCTAATAATGCCCACAACTCAGTAAATGCAAAGGGGAAATGTGAAGCATCTTCACGCCGCTGCTGCCTGCTACACGGAGGCTGCTGGGCAATTACTTGTCGGGCCACATTTTGAAGCCTCATGCTGACTAGCCCTCGTCACTTCACACTCGCTGTAATGAGAGCACTGGCACCTCCTATTCCTAAAGTAACAACTAATTCTTCCAGGACTCCTCCATCAGACGCTGAGTGGCCACAAGCATGCCATCTTTACGGTCCAGCTCTGCTTATAATTACGGTAGAGCCTCAAGAGTGTTCTCTTGGCCAGATCCAGGTGTTCTCTCTCACTCCTAGATCCAGCATGTCACCTTGCCACTTATCCCCCCTCTTCCCCACACCAAAGGGAAAAGAGTAAACTTTAACATTTCCTCAGCAATGTAACCTGCCAAAAATAAAATATATATATTAACCTTTGATTTAATCCATATGTTAAATTGCTTGAATTAATCATTGGACGATGTATAAACATATTAAAACATCATGTTACTCAATGTTCTTCCGGGGCTGCTTCTTCCCTTTGGGGCATCCAGGTACCAATGCATACAGCTTAGCTGGACAGGTGGGTCAGCAGGATCCCAATTCCACAATGAGTGTGGGTGGGGAAGGGTGGGGGTCTTCCAGTACAGCCCTTTCAGTGACACGGGTCTTCCCATGAGGCAACTCTTTATTGGGGGGGTATGGGCTATATAAACCTTGGCCAAATGGGTGGGGATTTTTGAGTGAGTGTACATCAGTGGCTGGGGCTGAGGTGCTGGGAATGCTTCATTTGAATGGAGTGGAGTGCCAGGTGCTGGCTGGGCACGTCCTTGTCACCAGGCTACGTGACTACGTCGAGGATGTCGGTAGTAGGGGGTCACAAGACTACATGCACTGGGACGTGCGGGCCCAGAACAGGGAGGGGGTGATCCTTACTCCTGCTCAAGAATGAGATTTTTGGGGATTAGACAGGTCTTGACCTCACTCTAGCTCCAGGCCAGTTCTCCCCACCCCCAGTCACATGGTTCATGTGTCCCCAACATAGGACAAATTAATGTAACTTTTATTTGCCAATTAAAAAGTAATAACTCCTAGGCATGGTGGCACATACCATACTGTCAGCACTGGAGATGTGGAGCAGGAAAATCAGGAGTTCAAGATCATCTTCAGCTACGTAATGAATTGGAGGCCAACCTGGGCCACAGGAGACTGTGTCTCAAAGGAAGAAAATAAAGTAATGTCTTTACAAGCTAAATACAGGGCTGCACAGATAGCTCAATGATTAAGACTGTTCTTCCAGAGGACTAAAGTTCAATTCCCAGAACCTGCATGGCAGTTCAGAAACATCTCTAACTCCAGTTCCAAAGGATCTGACACCCTCTTTCTGGATTCTTCAGGCACCAAGAAAACAAGTGGTGCACAGACATGCACACAGGAAAAAATACCCATAGACATAAAATTTAAAAACATAATTGAGATCAGTGATCTGCAGACATCCTTATCTCTGCTGCCTCTGTCATCCTTCAGGCTAGCCTGTACTACTACCAGACTGCAGTCAGGACACCAACAGATGATGGTAAGTGAATCCATCAGGTGTGCCTTGAAATTCATCAGTTTCATTATTGGGCATGGGGTGAGGATCCCTCGCTGCTTCCCTGTCCAGAACTGCTCTGAGGAGGAGCTCGGTGAGAAAGGTGTGATTTTAATGCCGGTCTCAGTTACTGAGGAGCCCGCCACAGAGCATCGAGTGGAGCAGAGCCAGACAAAATAGCTCATATCACAGCTGACCAGAAGACAAAGAAACAAGAAGTAGACAGAGATAATATGCCCTCAAAGACCCAGCCCTAAGGCCTGCTTCCTCTTCCTCCTCCACCTTCCAAAGTTTCTAGAACCTTCCAAAACAGCCTCCCCCAGCTGGAGAACATTGAAAACAAAAGCACAAAGTAAATATTCCAGGTTCGGACCACAGCATCCTGTTCTAGCCACAAAAGGCCCAGGGCATCTCAAAATGCAAAACACATTCCTACCTTGACAGTTCCCAAACACTTTGTTTGTTTGTTGAGACAGGGTCATGTACATCTATATGATACGAAAGGGGAATGAAGCTGTTTAGGAGGGCAAAAGAGACTAACAAGAGAGGAGGGGAGGGAGACATAGGAAGCTTGGGAAGATAGGAATATGCTTAGCATACAATATGTACTTGTGCGAAAGCTTTAATTTTTTTTTTTTTTAAAGAAAAACTTCACAGACTCATCTGATTTTTTTTTTTTGTTTTTTCTTTTTAAAGAAGAGTGTTTCCAGGATGGCCCTGCTCACAGAAGGCGACATGCAAAAGCCGTTTCCTGGGTGGAGATGCTCAGGCATTGAGAGACTGCTGCAGCTATGGCCCAAGGGCCTGCCTGGCTAAGGCTTCAGCTGTCAGCTGCTTTTCCAGCTGTGCACAGTGCAACATTCGACATTCCTGGATCTCCAACACCCTGTGGTCTCTCCATTGAGGCGTTATCTTCATAGCTATATACTGTTCTTTTTCTTTTCCTTTTTGAAATACTCCATACTGACCGGACAAATTGGCTGGATCAATTTACCTTCCCACTAGCAGTGTATCAAAGTTCTCTTTTGTCCATGCCCTCACCAATATTTCTAATTTTTTTTTTATGACTGCCACTCTGACTGGGGAAAGATGGGATCTCGCTGTAGTTTTGGTTTGCCTATTTCGGATGGCTGGTTAAGCTGACCATATTTCATAGGGGTGTTGGCCATTCTCATCTCACCTTTCATCCTATTTATTGCTCGGGTTGTTTAGCTTCTTGTTTGTTTGTTTTTTTGGTTTTGTTTTACAATACAGGGTTTCTCTGTGTAGCCTGGATTCGCTTTGCAGACCAGATTGGCCTAGAACTCACAGAGATCCACCTGCCTCTGCCTCCCAAGTGCTGGGATTAAAGGCGTCTTGTTTAGTTTTTTAATTATTTGTATATTCCAGGTCTTAATCCTTCATCATATGTATGGCTAGCCATGATGACCTGGCTGTTACCCTCCTGTTCTTTTGAACACTCAATAGAATGCCCACTTGGCTTTGTCTGCACAGTAGGGCTTCTCCAGCTCAGTCTACAAACTCTTGCCACACACTGTTTCCAATGGCTGAAGAACCGTATGGTCAGGTTTTCTCATAGCAACCCCACTTTCCTCGTACCGATTCCATTTTGTTTGGATGGTTTTGTTTTTCAAGACAGGGTTTCTTTGTGTAACCCTGGCTGTCCTGGAACCAGCTCTGTAGACCAGACTGGACTTCAGAGATCCATCTGCCTCTCGAGTGCTAGGACTAAAGGCATGCGCCACCACCATCTGGTCCCAGTTTTGTTATTTTTACACGGGTGTGACTAAATGCATGGCAAGAACAACGTAAGGTGAGTACTTATTTGGGCTTGTGTTTCTAAGCATTTGGTCAACAGTCTCTCTGTATTGTGCAGTTGAGCAGGACATTGTCAGAGTTGTGAGCATGTGACAGAGGACAGCCGCTCCAGTCACAGTAGAAGTAGAGATGGGAACCAGGAGTAGCCAGGGATAAGACCCTTCCAAGTACTGGCCTTCCAGTGGCCCATCTACCGCCTCCGTCAGGTCCCAACCCCAAAATATCTAGAATGTCTGCTGCCTGCAGAACAAGCATTCAAACACCAACCTATGAGAGACATTTCAGATTCACTCATAACACTAGCCATGGCCACTTGGCAAGTAACTAAATCACCAAGAAAGAAAGAGAGAGAGAGAGAGAGAGAGAGAGAGAGAGAGAGAGAAAGAAAGAGGAAGGAAGGAAGGAAAGAAAGAAAGAAAGAAAGAAAGAAAGAGAAAGGAAGGAAGGAAGGAAGGAAGGAAGGAAGGAAGGAAGGAAGGAAGGAAGGAAGGAAGGGAAAGAAAGAAAGAAAGAAAGAAAGAAAGAAAGAAAGAAAGAAAGAAAGAAAGGAAGGAAGGAAGGAAGGAAGAGAGAGAAGAAATCTCTACCTGTGAATCGGAGCTGATAGAAAATGCATACCTATAATAACCCACATCTGTGTTATTTCTTATTATAAAGATAACCACATCTTTCTTTCTTTGCAGAGAGTGTCAAGATAAGCTTGATTGAGACCCATAGAGAATGGTAAATGAAGCGTCATCAACTCCTATAACTTCTCGAAAGATCCTGACCCACTGCACATAGTGTTTATCCGCTAGGGACTCCTAGCACAGTAGTGAAGTCTCAAAATGGATCCAAGGCTAGGCTGGTGACTGCTTCCCCCTTCTTTAGGGAAGTCTCCTGGGGTGACCTTGCCCCCACACCCCACATTCCTTATAGTCACACCAACCTGATGGACTGTTACGGGTGTTTGAGGCTAGCATGAGTCAATCTGACTGACCCTTCAATCATACAAAGGCTGTTTCACTACACAATAAAGTTAGACCTGCACCTTGAGTCTGGTCTCCCCAGGTCTGATTGCCAGGATTCTGTGGGGGTTCTGTCGCCGCTCAGTCTCCTTCTCCCGGTTCCTGATCCCCACACTTCTTTATCTTAAAACAGACTTGATTAGAAATAAACAAGAACTTATAAAAATAAGTGTAATAATAAAACAACCTTCATCTCCATAAGTGACAAGGAGCAAGGAGGGCTGGTCCAGGTTCATGATGCATCTCTACAAGACCAGAGTTCTGATTCAACATCTCTGCCACAGCAGCAGCTGCAGGAAGCTCAGTGTGGCGTCTGTGGTGACTTTACCTGAAGCTTGAAAGAAAGCAGGCTCTCTGATCAGAGGAAATAACAGGGGAAGTTAGGCACACAAGTAAAAGTGTATGGTAATGAAACAGAATGAGAAAAGAATAGAAAGGGAAACTAAACAGGGAGGAAAGAAGGAAGGTTAGGGAAAGGGAGAGAAAGAGGAAGGTCGGGAATGGGAGAAAAACAGAGAGAGACAAGAGAGTCATGAGGTTTGGACTAAAGTGCTGGCGAGCTGCTGTGAAGGTAAAGATTAGCACCCTGTCCTCACATTTCTTCCTTAGGATCTGTCTTCAGTCCCTCAGCAGGGCGGGAACTTTAATAATCCACAGCAAAGGCAGCACAGCAGAGTGATGAAGACGAAGTCCAGGACAGCATGTTAGCTGTCTCTTCATGTATAATAACAATACAGCTAGAACTAGTTGTCTGAGTCAGCAATAAACACTTAGCTCCCCATTCTGTGGGTCAGGGGCCCAAACGTGGCTTGTGTGGGTGGTTCTGGCTCAGGTTTTCTTATGACACAGAGGCAGACACTGCCCTGGGCTGCAGTCAACCTGGAGGCCCTTTTTCTAAAAAGGTTGACCAACATGGCAAGCAGGCCAGTACCACTTGCCACCCATCAGAAGCAAGAGAGTAAGTCCAACTTACATTTAAAGTTTGAGGGGAAAGCCTATTAAAGGAGGAACATTTCACAGATAGCCATAAACTTTGTTGAAATAACTTCGAACAGCTTCTGTTTCCATCCATCACAGATGACAGGGCTTCCTCCAGGCTTGACCAAATCCTCAGTCTTCTGACTCTCGCCACATGATGCCCCAGGCTTGCTCAGTCCCCAGGGCAGTCTCTTTACTTCCCTTCGTGCTGTTTGATCTTTCCTTGGGCTGCACTGATAGGCCTGTTCCTCCTGAGAGGATGCAGAAATTGAGATAGAAATTTTATTTTTTTTATAATTTATTTAATTTAATTCTCTGTGTGTTGGCCTGAAGGTGTCAGAATACATGGGACTGGAGTTATAGACAGTTGTGAGCTGCCATGTGGTTGCTGAGAATTGAACCCAGGTCCTTTGGAAGTGCAGTTAGTGCTCTTAACCACTGAGCCATCTCTAAATCTTATTTATGTCTGCTTTCTTTTATCTTTTCCCTCTACCCTTTCTTCCCTCCCTTCCTCTCTTTCTTCATTGTCTTTTACTAGCCACCCACAGCCAGGTCCTGTGATAAGCATAAAGAACAATATTCTAGATGAAACAAGCTCAAGAGGTGTCCTGCTTCTGCTTCTTTATACTGTTATGGTTCCTCTCTTCAGCCAAAACTCGTTCACTAAATATCAATCAGAATCTGGTAAACACAACTTCTGAGCTGGAGTGATGTGTTGCCTAGTAACTTTCTACATTAACTGCATCCAAATGTATTTCTGCAGAGTGACAAATGAAATGCCTCTCTTGGAATGATGCAGAGAGCAGAAGAGGAGGGGAAATTCGAGTTTATGGATTTTATTGGGCATCTCTGGGGTAAAGAAAGAATCCTTGGAAATCAGAAGAGGGAAAAAAAAGTTTAGAAACAGGTAGATGACATTTCTTTGAGTAAAAGAATTGTGAAGAGAAGGACACACATGACTGAGAGACCAGAGGGGAACATGTCCCATCTGAGAAGTTTCATGGTGCAAACTTGGTCCAGGAAGCATTCATAATAATACCATAAAAGAAATCAGTAGGGTTGGTTTATGGATCAATAGGTCAAGGAACTTGCTGCCAAACCTGAAAATCTGAGTTTACAAACTTGTCCTCTGACCTTCACTTGTGTGCTTTGTTGCATACTCGCACGCACAGTAGTGAATAAATAAATAAATAATTGTAATATAATTTTAAGAGAGGAAATAGTGGCTCTTTTCTGCCCAAACCACCAGCAGCAGGACTTGACAGCATCACAGATCCAAGGCAAACAGCCCTGCACCACTGAGCTGCTGCCAGGCCCAGTCAGCTGCATACATTAGATCAGACTGATCGCATTAACATAGCAGAAGTTGCAGGGTAAGAACTCACTTAGGAGCTCAGAAGCTCATGGTTCCTTATGCCAAATACATTGGCCTTTTCCCATTCTGCTCTGACATGTGAATTCTTTCACTCCCGCCAATCTCTTGTCACAAGCATGTTCTAAAGCTGCATGATCTCGGCAGAAAAATGGTAAAATAGAAAAAAAAACAAAAACAAACAAACAAACAAACAAACAAAAAACCTGAGAGAGAGCACCCCCAGAGAGCTATTCTCACAAATGCAGTCAACTGACCTTGGACAAAGGAGCCAAAGCAATTCTACGGAGAAAGGGTCAGCTTTCCAACAACTCTACACTCACAGACAAACACAGAAGAACACAAAACCTTTATGCCCTTCAGAAACCACGAAACTAGGAGAAAACATAAAGAAATGTAGGCAATCTTGGACTGGCAATGCCCTTCAAGAAGCCACACCCAAAGCATGAAGGATATTGGCAACCTGGACTTTCTTGAAATGACATATTTCTGTTCTGCAGAAAGCTTTGTTAAAAAACTGAAAATTAGCCACGCCTGGTCATATACATTTGTAATCCCAGCACTCAGGAAACTAAGACAAGAGGAACACGTATTCCAGGCTATCCTGGGCTATACAGGGAAATCTTTTCACAAAAAGAATCTTTCTAAAAAAAAAAAGGAGAATGACCTTTTGAGAAACACTGCATAAAGAACCTTTATTTAAAATATGTGGAGAACTTTTAAAATTCAATAATCAGGAAACTCCTTTTTGTTGCTTTTGTTTGTTTTGGTTGGTTGGTTGGCTTGGTTTGTTTGGTTTTTAGACAAGTTCTCTCTACATAGCTCTGGCCCTATGTTAAACAGACGGGTCTTGAACTCACAGAGATCTGCCTGCTTCTACCTCCCACGGGCATCATCACATCACATACACCACACCCCACTGTTTTTGTTTTCTGAGACTCTGGAGTCTCACTCCATAGTCCATACTAGCTTTCAGTGCACAATAATTCTCCTGCCTCGGCCCTACAAGTTCTGGGATAAAGTGTGAGCCACCATACCCAGTATCAATATATTTTTAAAGCTAAGAAAAAAATCTAAACAGCTACTTCACTAGAAAAGATTATGGTGCAAACCTGTTATCACAATACTTGAGAAGCTGAGGCAGGAGGATCACAAGTTTGAGGTCAGCCGGAGCTTACACATGTAAGCTGTCCCAAAACACCAAAAAAATTTTTTTAATTTGTCTTTTAAATAATTTTTTTAAAAGACATACTTATGGCAAAAGAGCATGTCAAAAGGCAATTGATATCATATGGCATTAGAAAAGTGTACATTAAAGCCGCAATGATCTAGTAGAATGACCAAAACAAAGATGAAAAGCAACAAGAAGCCTTTGATATTTTGGAAATTTCTAAAATAAAACACACACCACCACCACCACCACAACAACACTTTCGGCATGTGATTCGGTGAACACATACATCCCTTGATAGTTCCCAAAGGAGGGGAAGTTTACATCCTGCCCACAAATGTTTGTAGCAGCTATATTTGTAATTGACAAATTTTGGACATAACCAAGGTGTGTTGCTATAGCCCTCTATGATGAAAAAGGAAAAGAGCTGCCAAGCTAAGGGTCCCTAAATGTATACTGCTAAATGAAAAAAGCCAGTCTTAAATCAGACATTCACACTGTGATTCTAACTACATGACAAAACTATGAAACAGATAATAGAAAAACTCCACTGTCGGTATAATCTTGTGAAATGTATATAATTTACCCTTGTTCATTCAAATGCTGATTTCTCTACACCACTATCTGGTTTCAATCCAGACACTGCATTGTGATGTTTATTCTAAGCATCACTTGTCTCAAGTTTGCGTAAACATGCCACTATTTTGTTCTCTGTATTGTCAATAAAACAACCAGCCAATGCTGAGCAATGGAGAGAATAGGGTGGGACATCCTGGTCCAGAGGGGAGGAGAAGAAAGCGAGTGGGAGGAGTCGGAGAGCAGAGAATGGCAGGAGAAGACTTGGAACCATGAGGAGAGATGAACCAGCCCTAAGATATGACTAAAAACAAGTATAATGTGGGAAATCTGAATGGGAGAAAACTACATGGGCTTGGAGGTTTAGGATGGAGTAACTATTGCCCAGCATTGTGCTCTAGGTTAACTAAATAAATCCTAGTCACTGTGTGGTGATTTGGGTATACAGCCAGTTTAGGAATAACCACTGTTTAACTAAAAGATAAATCAATAATAAATATTCAGCCACCTAGGATTTAATGGGAGGGGTGATTAGGCAAATCAGAGGAGTTTGATATAGAGGAATTTTAATTCAGAACATGGCTGCTCTGGCAAAAAGGTTATATCCAAAGAGTTTCTAGGTCTGTGTGAACTGGCTGGAATACAGACACACCTTTAATCCAGGAGACAGAGACAAGTAGATCTGAGTTCAAGGCCAGCCTGGGATAGAACAAATTTCAGGTAAAGAAAAACTTAGGTCTAGGCATGGTGGTACATGCCTTTAATCCCAAACAATGAAGGTAAAGGTAGCTTGTAAGGAAGCGCCCATGTTTGAAAGTGATGTCTAATGGAGTGGCAGAAAAACTGACAAATCAGAGAAGAATTGGCAGAATATGATATGTCCAACTCTCATGAGAAGAGAGAGGAAAGGGAAGCTACTTAAAGGGCAATG